GAAATAGGGGAGGGATGGTGGGGTGTGGGGAGCTGGGGAGAGATAGCAAGGGGAGAAATGCCAGATGTAGGTGATGGGGAGGAAGGCAGCAAATCACACTGCCATGTGTGTTCCTATGCAACAATTTTGCATGTTCTTCACATGTACCCCAAAACCTAAAATGCAATAAAATAAATAAATGGGAAAAAAAAAACAGAAAAATTTGCCAGGCGTGGTGGCAGGCACCTGTAGTCCCAGCTACTCTGGAGGCTGCGGCAGGAGAATTGCTTGAACGTGGCAGGCGGAGGTTGCAGTGAGCCGAGATCGCACCACTGCACTCCAGCCTGGGCAACAGGGCGGGATCCTGTCTCAAAAAAATGAAAAGGCCCACATCCACTTGTCAGGTTTACCTGCCTACAACAGGTGGCAGCCTCCAGCCTCCTTCCCCCTAACTTGGGGGACTGAAAAAAGTGGCAAGGTGGCCTGGCTGAGGCGGTCTTTTAGTGACCCCCAGAAAGTCAGCTCCTCAGTGGGCCCACCTGAAGGGCCTTATCCCCTCTACAGGTCTGTGCCTGCTATAGCCATCCCACCTGGCTGACTTTGTCAACTCCAGATGCAAATGTGTGGGTGTCCACAATAGGACTCCTCTGCTCTGAACCTTCCCAACACGTGGACCTAGAACGGTGCAGAATAGAGCCGGCATTCAATAAACATTCATTGGCTCTTTGCACAAATGAATGTGAGTCTCAAACGTTAGAGGCCAAGATTTTACTTGGTTTGTATCTGTTCTGTATTTCACAGGTATTCAGGAAAAAAGATCATCAGGCAACATCTTAATTACATCATAATAGTTTACCATTTAAAATATCTACTGTGTACCAGGTACTTAACATTCTGGAAATAATCATGAAACAATCATGAGATGTTCTTATCCCCGTTTCACAGCTGATGAAACTGAAGCACAGGAGGTTAGAAACTTTTCCTATGTTTTTGTTCAACCTTTTAGTCTCGAGGGTACGTGTGCAGGTCTGCTTTGTTACATGAGTATGTTGTGTGTTGCTGAGGCTTGTGGTACAAATGATCCCATCACCCAGGTATAGGACCTGATAGAAAGTGTTTCAGCCCTTGCCCCCTCCCATCCTTCCTCATCTAGTAGTTCCGTGTGTCAATTATTCCCATCTTTATATCCATGTGTGCTCAACATCTAGCTCCCACTTGTGAGAACATGGGGTATTTGGTTTTCTGTTCCTACATTAATTTGCTTAGGATAATTTGAATATCAGAAATTGTTAGACTTTATCCAGACTCACATTGGGGAAATAAAGTCATCAAAGAATGAAGTAAATCCAGTTTGATCAAAGAGCAGAGCAATGATTAAAATCACCTTGGGATGTCTATTATTAATCCAGTTCTGAGGCAATTCTGGAAGAAAAACCCCATTGAGTGTTAAGTGATCATATCATTAACACAGGCCTCTCATCTCAAATAGATTTATTTAAGGAGCTAAATATTCCCCCGGATTTATAAACTCTGGGGGGTGTTTGTTTAAAAAATAAAATCATGCTACTTATTTATTACCAAATCAGGGTACTTTTAACCATATAATACATAAGGAGCTGTTGTAGAAAACAGGTTGATGTATTTAGAATGTATCATTTCTATGTTTGGGGGAAAAAGGGCTGTTCATATCCAGGAAGACAGACATGAATGAGACGCTGGTCAAATGTGTTCTTCAAAGTCAGAATTTCTTCTGAAAGGGGCAAAGTTTCCCTTTCCCTTCAAGCTTATTGAAATGCCAGCTTCCATGTTGGTGGAAAGCTTGAAGGACTGGATGAGGTTTATTTTTATGCTTGTTTGTGAAAAGGAGATTTCATCAGAAAGGGCCTAAAAATAAAGGCCAAATCTCCATCAACAGGGCAGCCACCCATCTGCACAGGCCCAGGGGCCTGCATGCCTCTAAAGCCCCTTTCAGGTCTATGGTAGAGTATCTTCATTCTGGCTGCTGTTGGAATCATCAGAAGGGCTTTCAGAGCTCCCAGAACCCACTCCACAATCCCGTGCAATTACATCAGAAACTCTGGGAAGGACCCAGATATGAATTTTTTTTTTAAAGCTCCCAGGGAAATTTCCATGTGTAACCCAGGTTGAGACCACAGCCACTTCAATTGTCTCCTGATGCCCAAGTTGTACCAAGATGTTGAGTCATCAAAACTCAACAGCAATGCTCACAGCAACATGTATACTAAAACTGAAATGATACAGAGAAAATTCACATGTCCCTGTGCAAGGATGACATACAAATTCATGAAGCATTCCATATTTTTAAATGTTGTGCCATGCATTAAAAATAATAAAAACAGGCTGGGCACAGTGGCTCAGGACTGTAATCCCAGCACTTTAGGAGGCCGAGATGGGTGGATTACTTGAGGTCAGGAGTTTGAGACCAGCCTGGGCAACATGGTGAAATCCCGTCTCTATTAAAAAACACAAAATCAGCCGGTTGTGGTGTCGCATGCCTGTAATCCCAGCTATTTGGGAAGCTGAGGCAGGAGAGTCACTTCAACCCGGGAGGCAGAGATTGCAGTGAGCTGGGATCATGCCATCACACTCCAGCCTGGGCAATAAGAATGAAAGAGGATTGGGGGAAGATGACCGACTAGGAACAGCTCAGGATTGCAGCTCCCAGTGAAAGTGCAGAGGGTAAGTGGACGCCGCATTTCCAGACAGATTTTTATTGCCCACAGACCAGGAGATTCCCAGGTGGAGGAGCCCCACGGGTCACCAGTGCGGCTGTTTCGGCCAGCGCGGCTGCTTTGGCCCACGCCCTGGCGCCACGGTTATCCGTACAAAAGACACTGGTCCGGGTGCCCTCTTAGCTGGCGATTGGAGCCCTGAGATGACAGAGGCGCCCATTCATCTGAAATAGTGAGCCAGGCCAGGAGATTCCTAGGCAAAAAAACTGCCAGGAATCTCAGCGCCGCTGTTTCAGCCAGCTCAGTGAGTCGCAGCATGGGAGATCCTGGTGCCTTTTCAACAGGCGACTGGAACACTGGGAGACAGTCAACCATTCAACAACAACAACAAAAAAAGACTCTGAGTCAGGGAGCCAGGTGATCAGGCTTGGCTGGTCCCACCCCCCACC